AATACGTTTTGTTCTCTTCCATCAGGGGCTTGGTAAAACATTGCAAACCATCTCCTTATTGGGATACCTGCATGAGTTTAGAGGAATAACTGGCCCTCATATGGTAGTTGCTCCAAAGTCAACTCTTGGAAACTGGATGAATGAGATTCGGCGTTTCTGCCCCATCTTGCGTGCTGTGAAATTTCTTGGAAATCCTGATGAAAGAGTAAGTCATTCTGGTGTGATTTGTATGCATGAGTTATTTAAGTTTTGGATACTCTGCTCAAGAGTTCATTTCGTTCTCTATCTTCAGAAGCATATACGTGAGGACCTGCTGGTTGCTGGTAATTTTGATGTATGTGTCACAAGTTTTGAAATGGCCATCAAAGAGAAGACCTGCTTACGCCGTTTTAGTTGGCGTTATATAATAATTGATGAAGCCCATCGTATTAAGAACGAGAATTCACTGCTTTCAAAAACCATGAGGCTGTATAATACTAACTTCCGCCTCCTAATTACGGGTACACCACTTCAGGTATGAATTGCGATATTTCTTTGATTTATGGGACATGCTACATGCTGGATTAATTTTGTTTGGCGATGCTTTATTTATGCATACCTAGCATGGCACTTGAAGGTTTCTAATTTATTTTTATTCGATGTCAATTTTCGAGGGTAATCTGGGTTAAATTTAATTTTTAAGTAGCAAGAATATTTCTTTTTAAGCATGCTTTTTATTTTTCCATGGTTTGCTTGCAGAATAATCTTCACGAACTATGGTCTCTGCTTAACTTTCTTCTGCCAGAGATATTTAGTTCTGCTGAAACTTTTGATGAATGGTTTCAAATATCTGGTGAGAACGACCAGCAGGAGGTTGTTCAACAGCTTCACAAGGTAGGCCTAAAGTCATCTTGAGTATTTGGTGCCCCTGCTTTATCATTGCAATATCTCACTTTGATTTATTCTTGGTAAGGTCCTCCGGCCATTTCTTCTTCGAAGGTTGAAGTCAGATGTTGAGAAAGGTTTGCCTCCAAAAAAAGAAACAATTCTCAAAGTAGGCATGTCACAAATGCAGAAACAGTACTACAGGGCTTTACTACAAAAAGATCTGGAAGTTGTTAACGCTGGTGGAGAACGTAAACGCCTTCTGAACATAGCAATGCAGCTTCGTAAATGCTGTAATCATCCTTATCTATTTCAAGGTGCTGAGCCTGGGCCTCCATATACGACTGGAGACCATCTTATCACAAATGCTGGTAAGCTTGACATTTTGTAAGTCATTGACTTCATTGATGCATATTGTTTGTTTGATCATCTAACACATCCTTATTAAATTTTCAATTGTAGGTAAAATGGTTCTTTTGGATAAGTTGCTTCCAAAGTTAAAAGAGCGTGATTCTAGGGTCCTAATATTTTCACAGGTTAGTTCCGTTCTGTGAAATCATTATACTTTTATTGGTATGAACTCATGTGAGTGTAAGCAAATATGTTGTGAATTGCAATGCATGCCCAGAGATGTATCTCAATTCTGTTGTATGGTTCCTTGGTTTAAATGTCAGATGACTAGGCTGCTAGATATCCTTGAAGATTATTTAATGTTGCGGGGGTACCTGTATTGTCGCATTGATGGCAATACTGGCGGAGAAGATCGTGATGCTTCCATTGATGCCTTCAACAAGCCTGGAAGTGAGAAATTTGTGTTTTTGCTATCAACCAGAGCTGGAGGACTTGGTATTAATCTTGCCACTGCAGATGTTGTCATCCTATATGACAGTGATTGGTGAGCATCTTTATCATTTTCTTTATACCGATGGTCATTGTTCTGTCTACATTTCTATACCTCTGGTGCTTGATATTGCTTTAATATGTGACGTGTCCTAGGAACCCTCAAGTTGATTTGCAAGCACAAGATCGTGCTCACAGGATTGGTCAGAAGAAAGAAGTTCAAGTGTTCCGGTTCTGCACTGAGGTATGAATGTGTTCTGACATGATACATTTCAAACTAAGTAATGTTTGTATATGGGTAGTTTCTCATTGTGCATTGTTTACACTTTGAAACAGTATACTATTGAGGAAAAAGTTATTGAGAGGGCTTATAAAAAGCTTGCTCTTGATGCTTTGGTGATTCAACAAGGGCGATTAGCAGAGCAAAAAAGTATGGAACACAATTTTTTTCTAAGATCTTTTAAGCAAGCATATGCACAAATTTATTTCCTTTAATTTTGTTCTTGTTGTATGCAGCTGTTAATAAAGATGAATTACTTCAAATGGTGAGGTTTGGTGCTGAAATGGTCTTCAGTTCCAAGGATAGCACAATTACAGATGAGGACATTGATAGGATTATTGCTAAAGGAGAAGAGACAACTGCTGAGCTTGATGCAAAGATGAAGAAATTTACTGAAGATGCTATCAAATTTAAGATGGATGATAGTATGTTTGTCAATTTATTGTTACTTTCCTTTATGCATTAGATTATATTTTTGTTATTGCAATTGATGTTAAAATGGAAATTGCAATTTTCTAATGTTGGTGCTGTTTCTGCAGCTGCTGAATTGTATGACTTTGATGATGAAAAGGTGGGCACCATATTCTTTTAATTTTCTTCTTCTATCAAATTTTTATGGTTATGGTATTATTTCATTTGGCTTACTGTAGTTTTGTTCGTCTTTGTGATTTATAACTCATTTTGTGTGTATCTTTTACCTGATGAAGGATGACAAGCTTGATTTTAAGAAAATTGTTAGCAATAACTGGATTGAACCACCAAAAAGAGAGCGGAAGCGCAAGTATGGATTTACCTGTCTGCCTCTTTACTTTGCATTTATTTTCTCTAGTTTATAAGCATGAATTTTTGTGCTTTCGTTATTAGTTACTCAGAGTCTGAATACTTTAAGCAAACAATGCGCCAAGGTGCTCCAGCAAAACCAAGAGAGCCTCGAATTCCACGCATGCCTCAATTGTAAGCACCTCCTTAAGCTGGTTGTTGACTGATTCTCATCTGTGTTATGTTCTTTGACCTTTTATAATGTTCAATAATTCTTATTATCTATTCTTGCCTTTTTGTCTCCAGACATGATTTCCAATTTTTCCACACACAAAGGTTGAATGAGCTGTATGAAAAAGAAGTTCGTTTCCTCATGGTATGTATAAGTGAACTATTATATTCATTTCTATTTATGGCTTGAGATATATGCGCCTTTGCAGCCTATTTATCTATCTTAATTTTTTCGAAAAATTCTCAGCAAACTCATCAGAAGAATCAGTTGAAAGATACAATAGAGGTGGAGGAACCAGAAGGTATTTATGGTTTTCATATGAATTCAATTAATGTGCTTTTGTGTTTTCTGCTATTCCAACTGCTAACTGCGTATTCAAATGTATAGAAGTTGGAGATCCTTTGACTGCTGAGGAGGTGGAAGAAAAGGAAAGCCTGTTAGAAGAGGCAAGTATAATATATGCTACAGATAAGGTTCTCATCGAGGTTTTCTTTATTGAGCTTTTTTATTGGTCGATTTCAGGGTTTCTCTACTTGGAGTAGAAGAGATTTTAATACCTTCATTAGGGCCTGTGAGAAGTATGGCCGTAATGACATAAAAAGCATTGCTGCCGAGATGGAAGGGAAAACAGAGGAGGAAGTTGAAAGATATGCAAAGGTTTTTAAAGAAAGATACAAGGAGTTAAATGGTAAGCGATGTCCAGCAGTTATGTGTTGGTAGCTTTAGGTAGGACAATGTCGTTGGTTAAAGTCTAAGGCTCTATTTGGAAACGTTGGAAGGCAGGATTTGGAATTGGCTTTAAAGCTAAATATCATGATCCTTAATTTTTAAATATACTATCCACATGCAACATGAATTGGTTTTAAATCTAAATAATTCAACCAAAAAAATTGATTTTGTTTGCTGTTGTCCAGGTATTGAATTTCAAATCATGTGACTGGATTTTCAATGGCTTGTATTGCTCAGTGCTTGAGCATATTAATGTCTCACCATGATTTGTGGTAGATAGGCAATTTGACATCACTGATTTTTATTGCTTAAGCACCCTTGCTAAGTACTTTCCAACAAATCATCTCAGATTCTGAGCAAGTTAGATCTCTTATGAGTTATGAACTCAAGCACATGGTAGATGCTTGAGTTACTTGAGTTTCTTTTCATTGGTTGGGAAATCAGAAAAAGCTATAGTTTGTGATTGAGCTAACGAGACTTGGGGCGCTTACATGTGTGTGTGTGTGTGTGTATGTAGAAATGTCATATATATACACACACATATATATATGCACATTATACATACAATGTCTTTTGGTTTTGTTTAGGGACCTGTTGTGATTGGAACCTTGGATTCCAAATTGTTGACTCTATTGGTGCTTTCAGATTATGATAGGATCATTAAGAACATTGAAAGAGGTGAGGCTAGAATTTCCCGCAAAGATGAGATCATGAAAGCCATTGGGAAGAAGTTGGATCGTTACAAGAATCCATGGCTGGAATTGAAGATCCAGTATGGTCAAAACAAAGGGAAGTTGTACAATGAAGAATGCGATCGTTTCATGGTACAGTTTGGGACTCTCTAGACTCTGTTCTATACAAACTCTGATTTTTTGATGTTTAATCTCTGGTGGTTTTTCATGTCTATGTCACTACAGTTGTGCATGGTTCACAAACTTGGGTATGGGAATTGGGACGAGTTGAAGGCAGAATTCCGCACATCACCCTTGTTTCGTTTTGATTGGTTTGTGAAGTCTCGCACAACTCAGGAACTCGCTAGGAGGTGTGATACAATAATTAGACTGGTGGAGAAAGAGAACCAAGAATACGACGAGAGGGAGAGACAGGCCCGCAAAGAGAAGAAGCTTGCTAAGGTTTGAAGGCTTCAAATGCACACATTTATTCTGTACTTTATTATTATTTTTTTTCCGTTCCTGTGTAAGTTTATCTTACATTGTCGGTCCCAAGCCCGGATAAAGGAGGGGAAGGGCGTTAGGTAGTTGACAACCGACACTCCTATCTTATGTCGAATCCTTGGGATGCGATCATACCAACTCACATGCACCGGATCCCATCCGAACTCCGAAGTTAAGCGAGTTTCGACGAGAATAGTACTAGGATGGATGACCGCCTGGGAAGTTCTCGTGTTGTATCCCCCCACAGCCGACCCCACCCAGTGGGAAAAGGCTTTGTTGTGTTGTGTTCGTTCCTGGTCTAGTGTCAAGCTTGTTTTAAAGAAATGTTCCAAATTAGATGATGCGTTATCATGTATCATGTTTTGTTTCAGAGCATGACACCATCGAAGCGGGCCATGGGCAGACAGCCGACTGAGAACCCAAATTCCGGAAAGAAGAGGAAGCAATTAACAATGGATGATTATGTCAACTCGGTATGTGTTTCTTTTATTGAGTTGTACAGTGTCGATTTTTAATCTCTGTAAGTGGTGGCTGATGGCTTTAATAACTGAAACAATTTATGGTCTTATTTTGCAGGGTAAAAAGAGGAAATGATCAAACAACAACATCCTGAATGCTTTTGGGTGCTTGAGGCATCAGATGTTTCGACATCGAAAAGCACGGAGTAAGTTTAGGTTTTTAGTCTTTCGGATCACAGTCAGGGTTCGACATTACCCATGATCGGAGTAGTGACCGTGATCTTAGTAGCGGTAGGGTTAGCTGAATTATAAAGATATGTATAAAGAAATAGAGACTAGTTCTGATTTACCCACAACGTTTTGAACACCATGGATTTCATTCAATGAGATGTATGTCTTTGGTATACTGCTTGTCTGATGTGTAGAGAGGATATTATCTCTGTAGTTCCTCTCCGTTGCGGTTGCAGTATATATTTTTTCTAAAAGTTTGATGATATTAGTAGACGTGTGGTTGGTCAAGGTGACTAGAGCAGTGTCGTACATACTACATAGTTTACGCTGACCTCAAGAGCTTCTCTCATTTACGGTTTTCTAGCAAGGGTTAAGGTGCATATGATACAATGCGATTTGGTGGTCGAGCTATAATTTTATGAAGTACAAAGCAAGGGGGTTGCAACGAAGTACCGAGCATGAAAAACAATGTTTTGCAATATCAATTTTGTACATTGAACAATGAAGACAATAAAAATAAAAACATATGGGAAAATAACTTCACAAGGAGAGAAATATACATGGGAAAAACAATTGGATCGACGTTTCTGTATAGGCCGAAAACATGACTCAGAAATCCATCCATACACGAGAATGTATGAGAGAGTACAAAAGATGCAACAACATCATCCAAACCAAACCCACTACTTCCCCAAAACGTACAGGCTACACATCATACGGGGCAAAAATTATACATCGTTCCGACGACTCTCCCTGTAATATGAGCATCAGAACATTAATACAAAGACCAACATGTTGCATACAACCGTTCTGTTGTCGGGCGCTAACCGAAAATCATTAAACTACCCCCATTCCTCCAATCCCTTTCTCGACTTGTTTCTTCCTTTACTGCAATACCCGAGCATTCAGTTTCCATACTCAACTACAAGAATGACATATATCACAAGCAAACAATAGCCAAAGCCGGAGGATGACAGAATACTTATTCCCTCGGTGAGCATGGACACCAATACCGTAAAGGATGAATGCAGCTCTCGTAATCTTATCTTTCATCGCAACGTCCCCCAGAAACTTACAATACATTTTTCCTCAGAAGAAAACTTTACCAGGCTTGTTGCTGCATTTACTCATTTGTACCGTCAAAGCTACCCATCGCATTTGCTCGCTTCTTTTCTCTCCAATTTTCACCCCAAACCTTTGCCTCAGCCACTGCACGTTCTCTATCTAGATCACGGTTTCTTGGAGTTTCCCGTGCTCTCCCAGCACTTAATGGGCTGTCTCTCTGAGACTCTTGTCGGTCCAACCCATCTAAACCTCCTCTTCTCCCAGACCCAGTGCCAGTTTCAACCCTCCCTAATTCTGCGGCGGTATTCAAGTCCTTATTGGGGTCTCTTCTTCTGAAATCAGGTGAGTTTTTATGCCTAGCAGGAGAACCCTGTCGTCCACCACGTTCAGAGTCATCTGGGCTATCTAGCCCATCTCCCATGTTCCTTCGTTCATCCCTGTGCCTAGGAGTAGATGGACCAACTCTGTTACTTTGAGTACTGGCTGCATTTGGATCATATGTTTGGGAGGCTAAGTACGTGAGAGCAGTCACAACATCCCCTATTAGAGGCCTTGTGGCCGCTTGCTCCTGCAAACACATGGCTGCAACAGCAAGAGCTTGGTAGAGCCCTCGCATTGGGTAACGGCCTTGCAATAGCGGATCGGCCATTTTCGGGAACTTCCTACGATCCTTGAAGAGTGGCCGTGCCTGTAAACCGAATATCCACAAAACGAGAAGACGAAAACAAAAGGACAGCTTTGTTTCAAGTGAATTTGCGGAGTGATGAAAACTTATCTGAAAAAATATTAACAACCAAAATTATAAAAATGACAAATGCATACTTACCCATGCAACAAGATTATGCTCTCCAGGACCTCGGGTATTATCAATGGCTTTTCGCCCTGTAATAAGTTCAAGGAAGACGACTCCAAAACTGTAGACATCAGACTTCAGAGTCAGTTGGCCAGTCATAGCATACTCTGGAGCACAGTATCCATATGTTCCCATCACACGTGTGGAGACGTGTGTCTTGTCACCAACGGGACCTAGTTTTGCAAGCCCAAAATCAGATAACTTTGGGTGAAAACCCTCGTCAAGAAGGATGTTTGACGATTTCAAGTCTCTGTATATGACGGGAGGGTTTGCTTTATCATGCAAATATTCCAAACCCTTAGCTGCACCCGCCGCAATCTTCATTCTTGTATTCCAGTCCAGGGGTTCCTTGTCTGATGGAAGATCTGAAAATGTAAAACAGAAGCAATGTGGATGATTTAAAGAAATTGTACACATCGAAAACAAACTTCAGATTTGTAAGTAATAAAGAGATTTGAAGGGAGAAGAAATTGTTCACGAAAAAAAAAAGATAATGATACCGCAAAATTAGGTTTTGGGGTTTTAGCAATATGACTGAGCACAGTGTTTACTGGCCCTTCTCAGTGCATTGAATTTGAAAGTTAGATGTTACAAAAGTAGTCAGTTTGCAGCAAAGGCCACTAACCTTCAAGTTAACATACTCTTTCTTTTACATAGCAATATTTAGTCGTTCATTTGTAAGTACTGTGAAAGGTTTCCTAGAGATCCTTGGTACACTTGAACCCAGGTCTGGGTAGTTGACTGTCGGAAGAGTAGTTCATATCTTGGAGCTATATTACTCGACTAAAAACCTTTTTGCCACTTAGCTTCACTTCAGGCCTTTTTCACACATTTTTTTTCTGTTCCAACAATTTTTTTAAGGTCCTTTTGATACCGTGAGCTTGAATCCAATCACTGTTCCAATGGGAAAATCCATTTTGAAAAATTACCCTCAACTGTAACTTTGACAGGTATCACCCTCAACTGATCAGAAAAGCAAACAATCTAATGTCTAATTCTTTATTTCCATGCATTTATCTTACTGACCTAATTTTGGTTTCGTTCATTCAGTTTTCCTAACATTCATTCAGTAACATAAGACGTATCTGGCATCAGCCAGTAAACACACAGTAAAAATATCCCGTCTGTATTCTACGACAATGTGGCAATTAGATTAACTGTTTCCTCAATTTTGAATCCGCATTTACTACCATGTCAGCCTTACGTACAGGACTCAGTGCATATCCCATGTGCATCACAGTGCGCCTTTTTTGGCCTACTAGTATCCTAAATGTACAGTCCATGGACTGTCAAATATGAAAAAATGAAATTTGGAACTTTCACTACTCAAAACAAGCCCAGAACTACAACAAAGACACAATGTCATGTCAACGCAATAAACTCGAAGTAAGAGCTATTCCAGACGTCAAGAGCCGATGAGGAGAAAGATGGCTAGGTTACAAAACTTAAGCATTTTAAAGCAATCCCATGTTTGTCTCCAACAAAAATTTTTATCACTGGTTTTTCTGATTTGAATCCCGCAATCTCACTATGGAAAGCATAATCAAATACGGAAAAACAGCGCAACGCTATGACTTTGACCAAGAAAGGAACTCATGCAGCATAACCAAGGGATTATGCCAGCAGTTGAGTACAGACTAAAAGTACAAGTTAGATTAAATAGATAGAATGGTCAAATAAATAGCAGGAATGACTTATTAATCATCACTCATCAGCATTTGATCTACTTCAGTGATGGTAATCTATTAGCTGAATCCCTGATTAACTCTTGTTTCATGTAAGAAATGTTGCCATAAAAACAAACCCTAAAATAGTATTGCAAGATATAAGATCACCTTAAGGAAACTAACATTCGAGGACTAACACAGGCAGAACAAGTTATTAAGAATATGTATTTAAGATAAGATGCATCGCCATTCGCCACTAAATCAGGGAAGAGTCATGTCATTATATTTTTCTATGGTAATAAGAGAAATTCGATCTAACCATGTAAATGATCCTCCAAGGATCCCAAGGGCATAAACTCATAAACAAGGAGGCGTTGATCCCCATCAGCACAATAGCCAATCAAGTTAACAAGGTTTGTGTGATGCAGAAGGCTAAGCATAAGAACCTCAACCAAAAATTCTCGATTTCCTTGAAGACCATTCCGGTCAAGTTGTTTCACTGCAACTACCTGGAAACAAATAAATTCATAGGAGAGATCGATCATGGACTACTAGATGGAAAATCAGCAATTGATGCTTCAAATGAACTCTGCATACAAGTTTACCACAATCCAGAAAATGCTGAATAAGATCCTAAATGTAACAGATAGTAACAAGACTCAGAAAAATACTTAAACATGCAATGGCGATGTTTCTCCATTTCATTTCATACCAATGAACCTACCTGTCCTGTGCTCTCCAAGCGACCTTTGTAAACACGTCCAAAACCACCTTCACCCAACAAACATTCTGGCCTAAAATTCTTTGTTGCAGCTGCGAGCTCCCGGAAGGTAAATGTTTGTGCAGCAATGTGTGCCGTAGGTCCATCTTTTGGAATAGGTGGTTCCTTCTTAGGATCAGAACCATTCCGTAATTTTTTATCTGAAAAAGGGTCAAAGAAGTTGAAAAGGGGTTTGGTTAACAAAG